CCGATAATAAAGAGATCACAGTTACGACTAATAGGTAAATTTCGCGAAGTATAGATATGACATACTAATAGCACCAATTGCAACCTACTTTGTTTAGAAGTACTATAATAGTTATGAATAAAAGGAAAAAAAGAATAGAAAGTCTACATATACAAATATAAATGATAAAAAAATACGAAAAACCACCAAAAATTATTACAAAAAATGTACACATTAGAGAAAAAAGATGATCATGAAGTAAGAGTATTTCAATTAGTATAATCATTAGAACAATTCAGTTGTTTCTTTGATGTGGAAACTTTGCCGTATAGATGATGTCATTTGTACTGATTGATGTTCAATCGTAATTGTTAATTACAAGATAGAATCATTTCAAAATATTTTATGATATATCTAAAAAAAATTACATTGACTAACATATTGAACTTAAAAGTTAGACATCTAAAACGTATACATCAAGAAAATAGAGAAATTCTATAAACAATGATAACAATGTATATAGTAATCAGCCATGTAATACTGACCAGTATATCAATTAATACTAAATGACTGTTGTATTACTTTATACATCTATAAGGATAGTTAAATGATATTTATAGAAAAGAATACACACTATATTAAAATAAATATCATGCAAAAGCTGACTTAGATGTTGATACAAATGAATATAAAGAAATGAGTGAATGTTAATCATTATGATAATTGCCCAACCAAGTGAATGCTCTGTTAGTGACATTAAAAAAAGAGATAAATTTCCTTTCATTCTATGAGAATTACACTTCCTTTTGAAGAATCTTGTATATTTAATATACATTTTCATATGTACATGTATTAAAATATTAATTATTTCACGCGAAATATTTGTTCTCTACTAACAAAAAAATCTACGATTAATCGTGATATAATCTGATTTTATCGTTGATTTTTCTGCGTAATATGGTTAATCATGATTTTACATTACTTTTTTTTGTTGAAAATCGCCAAAATCACCACGATTCTCGTAACATGAAATATACTTGACATTTCCGAACAAACTGAGCTCATTGATGAGGAACGAAGAAATCTTCTGAAGAAATTTATTAATCACTCTATGTTTTCAGAGCTGTTAAATAAACTTTAAAAAGCAAGAGAACTAAATCTGGATGATTGCAAGTTCACAATGATGAAACGAAATTAAAGAAATTTAAGCGAAACTACCACGTATTGTTTCTTCAAACTTGCAAAAAGACTTTATTAAATATTGAATTTGAAAGTGCGATTTGATAGGATATCTTTTTATAAATTTATATTTATGAGAAAAAACTTTGAAATATTCTATGTCATCCGTAAAAAACAACTTGTTAATTCGGTTGAATCCTAATCGAGAGATACAGTTTTCTTTTTAGTAAATAACTTTCTGGAAACTCCGTATATATGCTTGTAGTTTTCTTCTGCATTTTTAATTACGTTCGTATTTATGGTGTTAGAAAAATAACTAGATTTCATTCAAAAATACGCCATTGAAACTCACTACGGCGAATAGAATCACAGTGAACATTTCTCCAAGTTGCTCTGATTATGTTACATTCATGATAACCACTGTGACTTGAACTTCAAACTCCATAGTGTGTCTGTAGTACAATGATGGTCATATTTTGAAATGGTTGGATACTTGTGGATGTCAATAGTGTAATAGTTGACAACTAAATTTATTCATCTGCGACATTTGTTTGACATTAACGTGGAGAATATGTTTTTATACTGCATTTTGTTGTAGAGGTATCATCATCGAAAGAAATATATAGACTATAGTTGTTTTGAAGAAAACTAGAAGAACAAAAAAAATATTTAACTCGTTTGGTTTTGCAAAATTCAAACAAGATGACATCATTATTTGAACCTACCAAAATTTAGAGAACACGAAACGTATTACGAAGACATAAAACATCTGAAGTCAACATTTAAGTGTTTCGTGAATGCATTCTCTTGACAGCACCGTTCGATTCCGTTAGCTTTTGTTTCGAGTAGAGTTTGGGAAGCTTCGAACGAGCATTTGAATACATATTAGGTAGATATTGCGGTAGCAACCAGCATTTTATGAATTATAAAAATCAATGAATTACAACTAAAATTAAATAACTTGAGCTTTCCGAGCTTAAATACCATTTTCGAGAGGGATATTTAAAATAAAATCAAAGCAGGGGAAAAAAGCTTAGCATCATTTTAATTTTTTTCAAATTTCTCGTCACGAATAATCCACTGGAGATATTCAAATGGTGATTTTGAAATCTCTCAATGAAATCTACATAGCTGAGCTGCGCATATTTTTTCAACATGTTGTTTTCGCTTATTATAATGATTGATCTAAGTAGAATTGTCCGAGATTTTCTAATTTGTAGTAGGCATAGTTGTTGTTAAATTTAACAGTTTCAACTGTAGTACAAGGCGTTCAATTTATATAATTATCGTATTTTGAATAGCAGCATTCACTCTTTCAAACGAGGTCTTATTATTCTTGGTGCAATGTTTCGTTCAAGCGTTATAGTCTTTAGAAAATTTAAAATGGATGAAAACAAAACATTACTAAGGATTATCACTCCAACTACTTTTGAAAACTAGAGATTCGGTAATGCTTGAAGGGAATGATACACCCAGAACAATGAGATCTCGTTAGAAAGAGCTAATGCTACTATTCAAAACGTGCTAATTATGGAAATTGAATGCTTCATCTCATAGTTGAAATTTTTAAACTTAATAACATCGATCTATAGTAACAAATGAAAATACTTTGACTATTCTACTTAGATAATGCATTTTGAAACAATAACTTTATTGAATTTTTATGCTATTTGTCATGATCTATTTCATGAAAAAAACTAAAGCGTTACTTTTCATAGATTTTAATTCCTAATAACGAATCGCAAGGTAATATTTTAATATGAAAATTAATGATTTCTCACAAATAATTTTACCAAAATGTAGCAAATGAAATCCTGCATTGTTTATTGTTGAATTACGAAAAATTTGACTCAATTTAAAGAGTATTCTACACTTGGTTTTCCATGCTATGCTATTACATCAAAGAAAACGAAGTTGATTCGATCTATATTTGCATCTTATTTTCTCTTTACTACCGGACGATTTATTAAAAAGAAGAAAGCGATTCTATGTGAAGACATGCGAAGAAGAATTACTATCGATTTTTGTTTCAGTCTATATTTAATTCTGTTTGTACTTTTTAAACAGTCTAGAAAAATTGTTCAACGACTTTTATCTTACACAGTTGTTTTTAAATCAGATTTTAAAGCCACAATAATCAATAATTTCTTGATCTATAATTGATGCAAAGAACAGTCTTTATATGACATAATCTAATCTACATGCTTAGGGTTAACCAAAACTTTCTGCAACATTGCAAAAAAATGAAAATAAAACTTCAGAGAAATATTTATTTTAATGTATTGAATGTTCAAATTAGTTGCCATAATTATTTATACAAGTTCCATATATTCTATCAATGTGTGAAATATTTTTAGTCAATTCTTTTTCTGGCATATCTTTAAATATCTTAGAAATCGCACGAGCAAATGAGTTTTCATTTGTTTGATCAGTTAAGTTATGCTTGATATAATCATTTAGTCAAAAGTCATCTGATTTGTGGATGCATTTGTATCATACTGTTCCAGAGACAGAAAAAGAAAGAAATATAGGAAAAGTTATCGAAGATAAGAAATAAACTTATTCATTATTTGAGCAACACCAACGAACTAGTTATAATTCAGTTTATGCAACAACACAAGGAGTGGACAGCCTAGTCGACGAATTTGAGAAGAAATCAAATTGTTAAGCATCATGATCGAACTGGTTTAATACGTTTTTTACGTCAATTTTGTATGATTTTAGTCACTACTAAATAACTACTTGATTGTTCATCGATCTATTATGGACATTTTCATGTTTATTTCATACTACGTAATACACTACTTCTGGACCTTATTACTTTTTCTTATTCTTTTCTTTTTATCTGATACTTGTCCTCTTTTATTATAACCATGAACACCTATAATTTAAATTAAGACATTCAAATAGGTCTTTAATTAAAGTTCAAATACACTGTGTTCACAATACATGATTTATTTTTGTATACTTTTCATTTATCTTGATTATTAATCTGTGATGAATTGAAAGAAACAAAAAAACACCACCTCACTTAAAATAGACGCATTCACCAGTGCAATATATAATTGATAGATAGACATACACTGATATATTTGTTCATTTCGCTATAATACGAGATTCAATCAACACCAAAAACTTTAAGTTAGTCACCAGAACTCTTGTATGTGATAAGATACGCGGCATAAGCTTGATCATCATGATAGGTTACAAATATATGCTCGTTGTCTGTTGTTGAATCGTAACCAGCAGGTGGAGTCTTCATCTTATCGTTGCCTAGTATTGATCTACCCACGAGCACTTTTGCTAAAAACATACAATGTTGATTGGTGGTTGGACTTTCACAAGTGTAGCCATGACTGTAAGAGGCATCTGTTGAAAAGTATACACCAACTCCATATAAAACACCTACAAACCAACCATTATAGAGCTAACAAGCCAAAAATTTTCTTCACTTACCATTTACACCAGCAAATGATCGATTGAAACACGTGTGAATGATCATATCTGCAGATGACTCTGGACAACCGTGAAAAAGTAATCTTTCGCTTTCTTTCTGTTTAGAAAAATGCTTGTAAGCTTTATAAGCCATATGCCATCTTTGATTCTGAATGCGCTCAATTTGAATTTGTGTATATTTTCCCCACATTTTCTGGTTAAATTGATCGAGCACTTTGCTGTACTCGTTATCGTTCACATCTAATATACAGCGTAAAACATTATCAGACTGACTCACCCAATTCGAAGGCACATGAAAATCTCTTCTAATGACTTGATGTTGTCGTTCACCACAGATTTCAACCTTATCTTTGAGTTGTATTGTGCATTCTTCGTTGTTATCGTTTTTAAAGCGAACCTAGAAAGTAGAATATGACGAACTTGAAAGTAATCAATTGATAAATACGAACCAATTCATTATCATTCGCATTTGCTGTTTCAATTAGCGCATTCAATTTCAGTGAGTATTTTTCAAAAATTCCATTTCGAATTTCAAACAACCAGACGGCGACGCGAGCATAAGATGCAATACGTTCTTCTTCAGCTTTGATGCTTTTCAATCGATAAAATTCCGTTTGTGCCGCTTTGACTTGTTCTTTCGGTCCGGAAAGTTTGAATTTGTCATCAAATGAGTTGAATTCTGGTAGAACTTGTCGTTCAGCACAATATCTATAGAAAGAATCAATTGTTGCTTGATTCCATGTATGCAATGGAAATTCATCACAGTCCACTGTGAGTATACATCCATTAACATAGTCTTGTATAGTTTTGCAGCATTTATTCATATTTTCTTCTAATGCTGTTAGCATTATTTTGACGGCTAAAATAAAAGATAGAATTGAATTGAAGGATCCAATTCAGTGAATATCACAAGATATTACTTGTGTGTGGATAAGAAAAATGCTTTAGATTCTTTGTTGATTTTTTCTGACGTAATTCAGCGAGTTTAACACAAAATGCTCGATAGTTTTCATTCTTATTCGGAAGGAGTACAATCAATATTTTTAGGTTATAACTTGCGTATCTCTGAGTTTCGTCCAATATTATTTCAGCAATAATATTAGGATCATAATTTAATTCACCACAACCAAGAGCAGGAAATGCAAGCGAAGTCTTCTTAGTATTTACTGCATGTTGAATAGCAGTTGTAAAAAATGTTTGTATTGTCTGTCGTAAAGTCACATTATCGAGTTTTTGCGTTGTCCAAGGTAGAAAAAAGAGTCGCCGACAAAGTAATTGTCCACCTACTGTTTCATAACCATTATGAGTAATTGTGCCACTATTCAATGCTGCATGAACTTGATTCGTTACCTCAGTTCCAGCCTTCTGAAGAATATCATTCAGAAGATTCTGTGAAGTTGAGCATACCACAACCATGTCGACCGATTGTGTCGCAAGATCGCCGACTCGAATATCAATTGACATAGCAGCCGGAATCAATTCAGCAGAATCTTTGCTTAAACATGAAATCGGAACTGGATAACTTACATCACTGGACTTAAGTTGTATTTGTACAAGACAGCTGTGAGCTATACCTATCTGCACGAGCTGATTTGGTTCAGTTATAGCTGCGAAACTAAAGCGTATGTCTTCAATAGTCAATTGTTTTTGTCGAATATTTGCAGTCATTCTATGAAGCTCATCTTTAATTGTGCTATGTGTCTTTCTAGGACCACTGAAATATCCATTTCTGATACCATCGAAGATTCGTAAGCCTTCATGTTGTTCTTCTAAACGTTTCAATTCTTTTTGATGAAGGTCGAGTAAAAACTCGATCTAAAATAATATTATTTAAATACAATTGCAAGACTTATGAAATATCATTGGAAAGCTATATTTTTAGTGGTTAGACTGGTAAATAAAGTAAATATGATGGAATACGATTTCCCTTATGATTAAAACTTTTTAATTCTATTGCCATTGAATTTGCTTTTGTCGTGAATAGTTCTTAAACAAAGAGAAGCAGAGTATTGGTCTCATGAAAAAGTTTAATAATAGTGGAAGTGATATTTGTAAAAAATACCCTATCTCTTATGTTTTACCATACTTCTATGTCTATATAAAACTACGAATGATAAGTACTCCTTCAAGTGAACTTACGTACGTCATATGTAAAAATAATTATTATTTTCATTTTTCATTCGTAGGAAAACTAAGAAAGCTGTATCCATTAGAAACAGAGCTCCGCTCAACAAATGAAAAGCTTGCTAGTCACATTTCGAGACTCAGACTCTCTCTCTCTCTCTCATCACATTTTCGAATTCTATCGCTGATAGAAAAAGACTATTAGTAGTTTTGTCTGGGGGCTGTCCTTTAAAACTGAATGCACTGTAAAAGTCCACAATACGATACAAAGCTAAATTCGCTTCACAATACATGAGCAATGTTTGTTTCTAAAACAATGTCAACTCTTTGAATTCGAAGTACATCAGGCACTGCTAAATCTAACATAAAAATACATTTTTTTTTCGTTGATTAGCCGAGCAAGATGAAATCACATTTTGGCCTGGTTCTGTTCGGCATCTGATTTCACTCTTAGCTCTATCTAGTCGAGAGATGAGACACAGCTCATAAAATGTTTGTTCGAGCTCTAGTTGGAATTGATGGTGAATGTCAGATAGCTCTACTCAATGATGCAAGTTCTATTATATTTTACCGTTATTCAATTAAAACTTTTTGAAACAATCTGTTTCATTATTAAGACATACTTGATAATCCTTTAACTCATGTTTGGCTTCACCCATAAAGTACGTCTGTTCCAGTTTTTCATGTTCGGCAGTGAACTTCTTCACCGAATCGACCAAACCAAATAGTAATAAATGATGTTCTTCCCTGATCAACAGTATAGCATCTTTATGAAATGGTTGTAAAGAAAACTTTTCAAGTTCATGAACATATTTATTTGTTAATGTAGCGTCCAAGTCTTTCGAAACTCTAATTATGGTAGATAAACATTTTTCATTGACAATATCAGTAATAATTTGTTCTGTAGTACACAGTAACTTTAGAGAGGTCATAGTTGAGTCGAAATAATAAATTTTCAGTCCGATGCTTTCCGATGCTTCACACAGACAAATAATGTTCTTTCGATTAGCATATGTTTGAATAATTTGAGCTGCTTCTAATTTACAAGCCCAAAAACCTAGCAGACATTTAGCGAAGCATGTAACGAAAGCAAATATTTCAGTATAATATTACCAATACTTTTGTCGACGATTTTCTTATGCAAACACATCGTCAGCAACATGTCAAGTGCATCGTAAGCCTGTGTTACTTGTTGTACTTGACATCCTGACAATACGACAGTATAGGCTATCTTATTATCAGTGTGATCATTTTTGGTGTCTAATATTTCAACCTGTGTCGAAAACATCTCTATCAACGTAGCTTTGAGATTTTCGCAAAATGTATCTTGTCGAAAGAAATTAGTATATTCTTTGTTCTCCAGAACTTGATAATGTTGGGTCGATAACCGAGATCCTGCTGTTGTTGGACACTTGAAATTTCTAGGAATGAAATTCAATTATCAGTCAATCATCAGAATACTACAATGAATTCATCCTACTCAGAACTAGATATTTTTTTGTCATCAGTCTTAATCCCTACTGTAAGAGTGCTCGGCATTGATACAGATGTTGGCTGCATTGTGTTACTGATACCCTGCATGAGAACCTTCATATATCAACAATAGTCAGCATTATTCAACATACCGTTGACTTGGTTGATTGTTCTTTAGGTTTAAAGAGATTATCCTGCAAACAAGAGTTGAATAAAGCCCTTATTCTTATGCATAGATATTTTAAGTAATTTCATACTGTATTCAAATCAATCCAAGTATCGAAACATTAGACTTTCTGTGCATTTAATTTGTCATATTTTTGGTTTATTATCTTTGATTTAGCAAATAGTTTCGGTTGGATAGATGAAACTGAACTTATTTGTTTTAGGTAAATATCTACAACTGCTTAGCACTTTCTGATAGTCCTCTCTTTTTCTACATTTATTTTTTAATCAGTAACTATGGAATTTTATCTAGACTTACTCTTTTTTGCTATTGATTATTTTTCTTCCATTGTCAACGCTGTTTGGAGATGTAAGGGTCTAGATGTGACGAGATTGTGTGTGAATAAGAGTGTGGGATATGAACATGAGAGTTAGCACGTAGAGATGCTAAATTACCATTTGTTTTATTAGTATTACTTGGTACTTGATAATACTTATTATAAATTTTTATCATCATTAGCTTGGTTTCTGTTATTTTAATGATTTCAGAGGTCTAATAAATTCGTATTAGTGAAATAGAAAGTAATGTCTTATTACCAATGAATTTTATTAGTGTCAAATTTTTATTATTTATTACCAGTTGAAACAAAGGATAGGTGAGATATTCGTACACAAATGTTATTTATTAATAATTAATATATTTTGTGGCAGATTTTTTCAAAAATGTTGAATGCATAGAAAAAAATGTACCAGAGAATTTATCCTATTGTAACTACTCGATCTTTACTCATACTCTTCTTTAAAACTTAAATAAAGATGTTCGCTATCATTTATTAATCTTCATTATATAATGGTACTACAAGATATTGATGTAATGGAAAAGTTAAGCCATATTTATTAGATAAGGTCATTCTTTTTTTATTAAATAGTATGAAATTAGTTTTGGATATGTATGTCGTCCAATTTTTTTTCTCTAATACACGTGTGCAAGATTGTATTTTTATTCGGTTTGTTTTATTCAAAAAAATAAATCGAAACAAACTTTAGATGTTTATTTAAGAGGAGAATAAATTGAATTTGTTTGAGTGAGCTAATAAAAAAAAAAGAATACATACTTGTTCGCACAAAACAATCCTTTTCTGTCAACAAAAGTATATTACTATATATAGAACAGATGAATCACAGCATCGATTCCTTTCTATTTGATGATTCAGAATATAGAAGAGATTAATATCTTTTCAAAGTTTGAAAAAATGATACCATTATGCAGATGTTTGGTCTAACATTATTAATAGCAGAAATTGTGTAATGTAACACAAACAGAGCCCACTACATTTTCAGTTTACATTGAAAAGACTCCGTTCGGCGAGTAACTTAGCATTCAAGACTATGAACAAGTATTGTTTCAAACATTCCTGATCATGCATTTTTGTAATTATTACTCATGATTGTGAACTAGTAATTCAAGTGATCTCTTTGATTATTTATCACTTCATTACTAGTTATTTTCTTATATTCTATTTCTTCCATTATATTTGAAAAATTATCAATAATAGTAATAAAGTTAACAGTTTTAGTTACTAATAGAATATTAAAATAGCATTCCTATTGATGAATCTAGCTAGGCAGAATTCCCATTTTGACTTTGTTCAAGAGTCGTATTCGATAGGTTTCACTTCTTTTAGGATTAAAATCGACATGAAGATCGTCGTAAAATCAATGGGTTATGTATCTTGTTTCCGATCTTTGAATCGTTCACAACAGATAAAAAATAAAAGTAAAAAGAATAGGCCTTTGATACAGACCGAAATCCGAATCATGACTAGCCAAACTCATCCACTGTCATTTTCATAACTTCTTTTGAATTCAAGAATAAGTGTTCGGATGGGAGGGCACATTGAAAATATATTATAAAAAAAGAATTTTGACACCTACGGAAATTTTTTTAAAACAATGATTCCCTTATTACCGATAGAAATTGTTTGTTTTTTGAATGAACTATTTTATGAAACTTTCCTAAAATAAAAGACAGCTTTTTTATGAAGATAAAAACCCGAAGAACCATCTAATAAAACAATAATGTGCTTTCAGAAGGTTTGGTTCATAATGTTGTCTGAAAACATGTGAGCATAAAAGGCATAAACTCCTTTTCGAGACCCGAGACAATATCCTTTTACCTAACCGTGGAGTATACTTATAGTCATATATTAAAACATCTTACATAGGTTTTATTCAGCGATATTCTTGAAGGAGCAGCTGTTGGAACTCTATTGGTTCTATCATCGTAGCAGGTTGCTGTGGAAGGTGGATTTGGAGCGAACCAATTAATGTCCTACTTAGTGTAAGAAAGCCTAAAAAACTACGAAATCTCGTTAATAAAATACTTACATTTATTTCATTGTTCTTGTTCGAAGCTTTCAGTTCTTGATTCTTCGCTAAACGAGCAGTAGCTTTCTGTCAAAAAAATATTTCGATCAACAAATAATATACAATGAGCCTCCTTGATAGCATTACCGTTTCGATTACAGACAGACCTTCTAAATTAATGTTTGGTACATCATTGTTTATCGTTGATTCTTTCGGTCGTATTTTAAATGAAGTAATGGATTTTGACCAGTCTTCCATGACCACTCTATTTATACACGTTGTCTGAAACAAGATTGTTCATGAGTGATGAATAAGTAGTTGGAAAAAAATGAACTATTCCCCTATCATCCTATCTTACAGATCATAAAAGATAGATTGATAGCATGGTTTTCAATATCTGTCACAGACTATGAAAGAGGCAGTGAAAACCTTTATCTGCTCGCCAAATGGCTTCATCATGACTCACATTTAAATTTTGCAAATATTGCATAGAATGTTTTTTACTTTAATATTACGCTATAATTCAGTCCGTTTTGTTT